ATTACAAATACTATAAAGAAAAACTTAAACAAAATTCTCCAAAATAACTGTTACTTAGAATAATAGAAGCAATTGTTTTTATGGTTGTTGGATTGAAAGGCCATTGGAAATGTCCTATAGGCTACATATTGTGTGATAAAATTTCCTCAACGGATTTAAGTTGTCTAATTAAAAATGCTTCATATTTATGCGCTACTCATAATCTGAATGTTTGGATTATAACATGTGATGGACTTCGCTAATAGTTTAGTTTTATGTAACTCACCCAATGGTGACCAAATGAGCCAACGGCATTCATATGCGACGCTAACTACAAAAGTGTATTTAACCTTATAACAGTATGCACTTATATTTTTAAAGGTTTTATAAGAATGTTATATCGCAAAAATTTTATTCGATCAAACAAGGTTTAATATGGTTATGATAAAGCTACCGCAAACAAAAAAAATTTAAACCCATAGTTTGAATGTCTCTCTCTCTCTCTCTCTCTCTATATATATATATATATATATATATATATATATATATATATATATAAATATATATATATATATATATATATATATATATATATATATATATATATATATATATATATATATATATATATATATATATATATATATATATATATATATATATATATATATATATATATATATATATATATATATATATATATCATTAACTCAATTTTTTCAGAAAGTGGAGATTGAACAAGATAATTCTAACGTCGCGATATATATATATATATATATATATATATATATATATATATATATATATATATATATATATATATATATATATATATATATATATATATATATATATATATATATATATATATATATATATATATACATATATATATATATATATATCAGGGCAACAAGAAGTGGGCTCGGGCCTAAGAAAATTAAATTTATCTTTTTTTTTTTTTTTAAATTCTACCTAAAAAATCTTTTTTGCCCATAATTATTCTTTTGACGGTTGTTTGGAAGCAAAATTACTTTCGATTAAAATTACTATATTCTGGCTGAGATAAATAAAAACTTTTTGATACCATCTTAGCGTTGGATATCGGAAAAAACAACAGGACTCGCAAATTAAATAGTGATTTGAAAGACTCAAATTATTTTCTAGTGAAAAATCTGCTCTGGAACAAACTTTGTGTTTTATTTCAAATTTTATAACTTTATTTTGGCTTTTCAGAAAATTTTTAGTTACAACACCCTCTTTTTTTTATTAGTCTTACATTTACCAAGTTTGACATGATTAGCGATATGAGGTCTCGTGCCAACTTTGTTCTCTTATATAGAATTGTTTTTTATTTGCTATAGATACTTTTTTTTCATAGTAACAACCAATTTGGGGTAGTTTTTCATGTGTGGTAAATACGCTATAAATGCAATATTATAAGGTCACTGCTTCTTATAAAAATTTTTTATATTAGGTTGAAAGTGATGTTTATTACATACAGAATTTATTTTGTTCTAAGGATGTCTTTTTAAATAGATCATTAAGATAAAATTAAAAACTTTAAAACAAAGTAAATATTCTAATTTACCTTGTGTAAAAAATTAATTAACGACGATAATCGACAATAATCAATATTACTAATCAAATTTCTCCCACTGTTTTTTTGTTTTATTTTGTATAATTTATTTAACTATTAAAAAAATGTAACAAAGGTTATGCTCATTTAAATTTTTCAATGTTCATTTATGTATTTTTTTTGCCACTAAATTGAAAAACCAAATTCGCTTTGACGTGATGTCGATAGTTTTTTACGCGATATCGATAGTTTTTTACGCGATGTCGCTTTGCATATTTTCATATTTTATTGATAAAGATTTATCAAAGATTTTGGATCAATCAATTCTAATATTGTAAGGATAATTACATAGGATATAGCTCTTTTTCACATATTGAAAGGTATTAAATTAATACAGTGTTCAGACCAGTACCGTGAAAATTTTTAAAAAGGAGGGGGCAGGGTAGTTTTTGAAAAATGCATTATAAACTAGCAAATATAAATCTTGCCTAATATTTGAAATAAAACTTACGTGAAATAAGAGATTTTGGTAAAAAAAAGGTGTCGATCGCACCCGAAGACCCCATTAGACAATCGCCATTAAGCATTCCGCTCAAATCTAAGGTAAGTAAACAAACTGATCACATTTTTACAATAAAATGGTCATTACCCAAGTTATAATAAATTTCAGGTTCTTTATATTGTTTCTGGTATACTTATGTCTTACAGTACTTCGTAGAGTAGATTCTGTTTCAGGTCAGATCAGTCTTGAAGAAGAAGTATTGCTACTGACATAGTAAGATCTAAATCTCTTTTAAATTATCTAGCTCACTCTGATTCGTAAAAGTGAGGTTGAAAAGATCCCATAGTTTGTTCTGATCAGCCATAAACAATCATTTTTGCGCATGCAAAAATGAATGTTCCTGGGTGAAAAATGAAACTATCCCCGATATGTTTCACAACCTCATGTAATACCTATTTTTTGCCAATACACATTGTATACAATCTAGATACGTAACAAATCGTATCAGGATAATTTTGACATCCTCTAGTAGCCATTATGAAAAGATTAGAATTTATCTAGTTGGCACAAATATGTATATAGTAAGTTTGCTTGTTTGTTTTTCTTAACTATAAATGCAATTTTCTTAAACATACAAATGCAATAAAAGATGTGACTGGAGCAAGAAGATTATGTGGCTGTGATGTGGCTGGAGCAAGAAGGTGACAAAACTATGTCTTATTAAAGAGCTGCCTTTTTATTAAAAATTGTAATTTACAATTAACGTGTTATATAGACGTAAATATATACACTTTTTTTCATAGTAATAACCAATTTTGGGTAGTTTTTTTATGTGTGCTTAATTCACTTTACGTATTAAATATATACACTATAATACGCATTTATAGTGGCTTATGATGCTTTAAATCAAATTACTTCGGTTTTTAATTGAGTTGGCACTAAAAACGTTATAACTTCAAAACGGTCGATGTTATACAAAAATTTTTTGGAATTAGCAGATTTGAAATTAACAAACGATAAAAAATGTTACTGCGGAGAATATTTTGTAAAAGTTTGCAACATTGTGTAATTGTTCTTCTTTTATTCTAAATATTTTAAAAACATTTATTTAATTTTCAGTTTATACTAAATAATTTAAGAAAAAATTTTGGAAAAAATATAAATTGCAGTATACATACAGGGTTATCCGCATCATTTCGAGATTGTCAATGTTAAAATTGTTCTAAGTGTTGTCGACAATGTCAAAATTGTATCAGTACATTTCAACCGGCTGGAACATTTCGTAAAATATATGGATTCAATGCAGAGTTGTGAAACTCTGTAAAAGTATGTTGACTCAATGCAGGGTTTGACATGTGTGTTCAGGATGTCTATGTAGATGTCAGAATTAAGTTTTTAGTCCGAATTTAGTTTTTTGATAAAAACAAGATACATTTTTTTATCATAAAATGAAACAAGGCCAAAAAGCATCAGTGGAGCCGGGTGCTTTGTTTGAAATTTTTATGATTGTTTTTATGGTAAGGATTCTCTGACAATTTTTAGGTTTTATGGTACCAAGCCTAATAATCTGACTACTTTTGTTGCAGTTACCAACATTTTTATGACCACCGCGATCACGCTTAAAACATTGAGTATTCATAATTAGTTTTTTTATTTTTTTATACAATTATGTTACATATAATTATTACATAAACTAATTACAATAACAATTATAGTTTACACGTGGTAAATCATGGTTTACGAACATAAAACTTTTGTTCATGTAAACATTTTTGTAAATCTAATATTTTGACTTATTTCAAGGTTTTTTTATAAAATATTTACTAACGTTTTTACTCACTTTGTAGATTATATGTTTTACTTATTATATTAAAACAATTCTACCGGAACAACAATAAGCTGCAATTATTTCCGACATCGTCAAATTTATGAGAAACTATTGTAAATTTAATTTCCGCAAGTATTATACAGTTTATTTATTCTGCATAAGTAATTTTGTTTTTTTGTTTTTTTTTTGTTTTGTTATTTAGGTGTCCCCAAGAAGACCTAACGGTCTTGTCACAGAGCACCGTGGATGTGCATTTAACCAGGAAGTTCACGCGTCCTTCTTTATCGTGACGCGAAAATATGTCCAGAGCTCGTTTCGAGCCTGGATCTCCTGTTTATAAAGCAAGCGCTGTAACCACTGCGCCATGGCCGCACTAATAATAATAAAAAGTAATATATAATAATAAAAAATAAAATAGTTTTGTTTAAAAAGTTGCTTATTATTTACAATTGCGAATTAAACTAGATTTTTTATGTAAACTAATCTGTTAAGTTTTTTAAACCATATTGAGAACTTCAAAAGCAATCACATATCTATAAACAGAAATAACCGGTCTAACTGGTTGTTATAATTTATCTGCTGATATTATGTAAATGAAAACGAAATGTAAACTGTGAACAAATAACTGATTTTTCTATAACTTTTCATTTAATAAAAAACTTTTGTACACAAATGCCAAAAACAATGCCCAGTAATAATAGAAAAGTTGATTTGCCGCTATTTTTGTTCGGTTAACTATTAAAAAAAAATTTTTTTTTTCTAGTTAACTATGTTAGTCGTATACATCATAAGATAAGTCGTAATACAACTATTTAAACAATACAATTCAGAGCACTAACAATATAAAGCTAGGTTTCCGAAAGAAGATCATAAGGATCTTATCAACGGAACCTTTAAGAGTAAAAATAATTATTTAAAACATATATATTTATATTGAAAATTTAACGTATTTAACATAATCCATAGATTCAACATACTAGTATTTTAATATATAACAAGATGAAGATTTAACAAATAAATTTTACATACATTTTTAGTAGAGTTTTAGAATGTTGTCTATAGGGAGATTTTTTTTTGTTTGTTTTAAAAATTTGGTAATATTATTGGTCTTATGGTTTATCCTCCTCCAGCTAATTGCCATACGGAGGCCACATTACCAAGGACCCCAAAGACAAGTTCAGCTAATTAATAGCGTCATAAACTTATCTACGGACTAAAGGTAAAGTGAGTTTAGGAAGAACGAAGATATGTTAGAGTGAAAGACAGAAGTAGTCGTGTTAGAAAGATTGCATAGGGAAAGCAGACAGGATTACACTTGATGTTAGGAGGTGCAATTGGTTGAAAACATACACTTAATTAGGTCACCTAATTAATGTATACGGATCAACACAAATACTGTAAGTAGTTTAAATTTTTTTTTTCCGTAATACTATATTGTTTTAAAGATGTGGTACACGATATGTAACAACAAAAAAATGAACTTTGTTCTACATATGGGTTCATTTAAAAAACTATTATATCTTAATGTGTATTTATTTATTTATTTAAAAAAAAAAGTACGTTTAAAACAAATAAAGATAAATTGTTTTTGCATTTAAAAAATTACCATTTAAAATATAAAGTATTAAATACGTTAAGTTTATAAACATCTAGTACCTTGATATAATCAAAAAAATATTTTGAATATGAAAAGCGTGTTGATTGCATGTTTCTGACGGTGATAAAGATGTTGTAATTACTTTTCTCCGTACTTTCTCAGGCGATGATTGCATTTAATAAATAATTGTGTATATATGAATAATAGAGTTGGATCAAGTTTTTTTTGTTTTGATAGTTTCAGGCTTAGCATATAATGCCAATATTTTTGGAAATTTTTGTGCTTAATATTAATGATCAATATGTTTTCTCCAAGTAAAATATTACTAGGAAAAACTACTTCATCGAGATCAACATCTAAGAATTTTATAACATTGCATGTTTATCATACGCCATTCCTTTTTTCTGACCTATTCCTACTTTTATTCTACTTGTTACCCTGTGCTAATTTTAAATGTAAATGATAATAATGGTAGTTGACGATATTTTAAATACTTTTCTAAAATATACAAATAGTAATAATAACTTACGCGTGCGAATATATTATAGTTCTATACATGCGTGCATATATAGATATATATTATTTAAATACTTTTCTAAAATATACAAATAGTAATAATAACGTGCGAATATATTATAGTTTTATACATGCGTGCATATATAGATATATAGGTTTACAATATACACGCATATATATTTACAATTTCTAAACAACTATCATTTCACGTAGGACTGGAAAACCAATTATTAGGTTTTTGCTAAGGTAAATGGTTTGAGTAAACTTATTAAATATAAACTTACTTTCTTTAATTTTTATTTCATAATTAACACAAGTATAAAAGTTATATGTATACACACACACTCAAATGCACATAAATATGTGATTCAAATATTTAGTTTAAATAACTTTTGTTAGGTCAGTTCAGCTAAACTATTAGAATTTAGGAAATATAATTTAACAAACTTGGAGCATCACATAATATGGTTCTCTTCGACATGATAAGGCAACTAAGGTTGTACTTATAAATGCCAAAAAGAATTCTCAGTAATAATACAAAAGTCAATTTACCGCTATTTATGTTTAGTTGACTATTTTTAAAAAAATCATGAATTTTTATTATATTTCTATTCTTTTTCTATGAATTTTCTTTCTCTTCTACTCGTCCTTTCTTACACGCCACTAATTATTACCCATACCTTTTACTTTCTTTTTACTAAAAGTTTATAATTTTACCCTTTCAAATTTTTTTATTTAATAAGGTGGCAAGGATTAAACCAGAATTTTAAAGTTGCAGAAAAAAATCCCAATTGGACAGAACATGCAAGGAATGTACATAGATTGACTGACAAATAGGTAAAAAATACAAGAAGTGCAGCTACATTGACTGAGTGTTTTAGTTTGGGCAGACAAACTGTCAACTTCAAAAATGTATCTATAAAAAAAAAAATTTTTTTTTAAAGAGATTTTTTCCCGAGAGTTTTTTTATCGGGGGATTATTTCCAATCGGATTTTTTTATCGGAGGATTATTTCCAATCGGATTTTTTTATCGGAGGATTATTTCCAATCGGATTTTTTCCGAAAAGATTTTGATTTTTGATTTTTTAACTAAAACTTTTAAAGTATAATATTTTTTAATTTTTTTATTATAATAATCACAATTTCAAAAATCTCTGATAAATTCTTAACAATAAACGGATTTTCAGTCGCATTCATTAACAAACAATTAATAATAATTCAATTAATTACCTTAATAACTAAAAATTTAGTTCTCATCTTAATATTACTAATTAAATATATTTAACTATTAATTAAATTTTATTTCGGTAATTTATTTTAATGTTATTTACCAAAGTACTACCGGAGTTTACATCAACTGTTTATCATAAATATGTATATTCCGGAACAATTTTGAAAATTTATCAGTTAAAAAAATTTTAATAAATAGTTAAAAAATCAAAACTGAATATATAATTAATAGCGATTCGGCAGAAAAGCGAAATATTTAATATCAATTCAAAATACCAGGTATAGCTTATTATTTAAATTTAGTCATTAAAAATCAATAAATTTTAAAAATACATATTGGCATTATTATATTTTTATTATTTTCTTTTACCCAGTGGGCACGGAAGTAAAAAAAGACGTCTTTTAAACGTCTTATACACGTTTTAGACGTTTTCTGAACGTCTTTTGAACGTTTTGGACGTATTTTAAACGTTTAAAAGACGTCTTTTTTACTTCCGTGCCCACTGGGTATTGTTGTTACAAAACATAAATACGAAATATTTTAATTGATTCATGCAAACAGCTTTCTTCATTAAAAATCTTTTATGAAAATATTTTAGAATGGTTATACTATATTGTCTTCTTGTGATAAATGCCTTCGGATTTTCAACTTCTCAAAGTTCATCGATTTGGCCTTCAAAATCTTCAATAACAATCCAACCGACAGTTGCAATCGCTGGAACTATGGCACCATTAGAAACTCCTACTCCTGTCATTGTAACGTTTCCACCAACAGAAAAACTAGCATGCGATTCAAACCCATGTTTTAACGGTGCAACGTGTACAAATCTTTTTCCAAGAAATACAAATTATAAATGCGACTGTGCAAATGGTTGGACGGGTGTTAACTGTGATTTTTCTACAAGTGGTTTTAAAGCAAAAACTGGAGTTCAATATTTCAAAGTAGAGAACTTCACAATCTCATCAACTTCATCAGTAAATATAGTATATCTTCTATTTGATAACTCAACTGACTTGTTTAAAGAAACGTGCGACGTATTTAAAACTAATCTAAACAACACTATTTCTGCATCTGATCCGAGTATTTTACTATTAAATCTGAGATGCTTAAGTTTTACATTTTCAAGTTATTACTACGTTACCTATATAATGGACTTCCCCACGAGTAACAAAATTTCAACCCAACGTTTATTAAAAGCTATTGACAGTGGAATTCAACTTCATCAGAACAAAAATCTTACGGCTGGTTTAGTGTATAATAGTACTTTAATTGAAGATTTAGACGAATGTCAAAACTCTCCTGGCTACTGTCATCCATCTGCAATATGCTCAAACAATATAGGTGGGTACACATGTCATTGTCCTATACGCTACATTATGCAATTCAATGGACAATGCCAGGAAACAACAACAAATTCAAACAATATGTTAGCTATACTTTTACCAACAGTATGTGGAACGTTTCTTTTGTTTGTTGTTGCATTGTGTTTATTTATAGCAGTTCGTCGTAAACGTGCATGTGATGGTTTAACAAAAGTATGAATTACGAAAAACCCAGGTTTTACATTTGGTAACCACCATCATTCGCCGCAAACGAATTTACTTATTTATTTGTAAGTAAAAGGTTTGCGTACAAGAAAAGGTATGCGATCCTTGTGAGATTAATTGATATGAAAGAAACAAATACTGTTCCAAAATGTTTCCGAATTTCGTTGAATACATTTTTGTTGAATACATAATGTTGGTTGAATCATCATTGAGTGGATTTCTGCTGATTTAACAAAATGCATTTATTGATAAAGCACAAAGTTCTCACTGATAGCTTGAAGATTTAACATCTCGCTTGAACCCAATCAATTGTTTTTTAATTAGTCTGTATATACTTATGATAATTTTATATGTTTGAGCATTAAAATAATTAATTAAAGTAAGTTCTAAATTTTATAAAAAAAGTTTTGCACTTTATTTTTTTAATTTTTTTGTTTACCATTTACTTTATTATTTAATTATTCAATTTTTAAAAAGTGTAAAAAGGTTTTAATTTTTGTTAATTCACATAAGGTTTAATAATTATTTAGATATCTATGTTTATTAGTTAATGTAAATTTATACACATATATGTATATTTATAAATATGTAAAAAATCTAAGATATAAATTATTGTTATTACTTTTGATTTATTGATTTTTTGTGTAATTAAAAAATATATTTCGCTTTAAAAGTTGTTTTTATTTTATATCAAACTTAGTAATGTCTCTTTGATGTTGCCATGTTTTTTTTATCTAAACCTCGCTGATTCATAAACATTCATCTTCCCAGTGGGTGTAGACTACTAGTAGGTCTACTTCAGAGTAGACTTTTAAAAATATTTTTTGCAAGTTGTTCAACAACTGGCAATAGAAATTGACGTTGTTTTGTTAATTTTTTATTTTATTTTTATTATATATATTTATATTACATTGTCTTTAGGAAATCGGTAATTAGTTAAATTCCCTTTTGACGCAATTAAATGTCTTACAAAATCTGTAGCAGTTCCATAATCTTGGCAGAGTGTCCAGTCTTTTTGATTATTCTGGGGCAATTTTTATTTCTTGTTATAAACAAGAATTGCTTTATTAATTAAAGCTAATTTATTAATCAAACTTGCTAAATCAATAAATCTGAGTTCTTAAAAATCAAACAAGTTCTAAGAAATCAAAAAGAAGTCTGGGCTTTAGCCGATTAAAAAAGAAATAAAGATTTTCGAATTCAATGTTGATAATGTTGATTTCCCAAATTAATTTTTTTTTTGTTCTTAGGGTAGAAAAAAATTATTTTACCATCATTGGTAGGTTCAGACGATTTTTCATTGAATAAATAGATAAAATAAAAATATGTTCCGTTAAATAGCATATATGTAGTTTAATTTCATGAAATTACTGCGGTTGCATCTGATGAAATTATTGCGGTTGCTTCCTCTTCCTGATAATAGTTCATTGCAACAAAAATTTGTAATTATCTAGTGGAGCTAGGGGTGAAAACTCATTGACCATAACAGACCAATAAACTTAGCCTTGTGGTAGATTGTAATTTGTTCGTTATCAAACATGATATATTTGATTTTAAACTGATTGCTTTCATAAAAAAATAAATTTCTTTATATTTAAAGCTTCAAATTTAATGTCGAAAGTATAAAGTAGAAAAATGTTTTAGGTTTCTCCATATAATGGATAGGGGTACTGCACCTTTGTATATTTTAACTTGAAATGCAACATGGCAAGTTAAGAGCAATCGTAGCGCAGTGGTTAGAGCGCTTGCCTCAGAAACTAAAGATCCATGGTTCAACGTCACCTCTGGGCATATTTCAGTAAGGAAGGAGGCGCGAACTTCTTTTTAAATGTTCTTCCGCGGTGCTCTCCACAAAGACAGTGTTTTTGTGGTGTCATTTTGCAGTTGCATACTTGCAGTCATTAAAAATCATGTCGTTAGTGCATGAAAAAAGTTTATGCATTTTTATATGCATTGTAAAAGATGTTTTGCAGACATATTTAAGTCAAACATCAACGACTTCATGAAACTATTAAAGTAACTAAAACTATTTTTTTGATTTTTCTGTTTTGCATTCATTTAGTAAAACTTTTGAAACGAATAATTACTTATTTGATGAATTTTTGAAGCACCAAGGGAATAATCAAGCACCAAGGGCTAGTGTAACCAAACACCAAGCACCAAGGGCTTGTGTATAATACTCTTGAGAGTAATTGGTGCTCAACTTGTGCTAGAGAAAGATTCTGAATTTCGTAATAACATTAGTTTTATTATTTAACATTGTTATAACGAATATAGATACTTTATGTTAAAAGATATTTCAGCGTTTAGATATTCCAATTCAAAATTAAAATGCACTTGAATGTTTAATTTATTTCATTATTTAACCATTTAGCATTTTTCGCAGTGCCGGGGTAGGGGTTAGGAGGACCCAAACTTTGCAAATTTAGGGGCCCCCAAAAACTTTAGAGGACTTTTTTTTTAGTCATTTTTAGTCATTTTTAAGCTCAGGCCCGTAAAAAGGCCTCCAAAAACAAAAATAGCTCCGGGTCACAAGAAGTCTTAATCTGCCACTGGTTGTTCGTATTTATTAGGAATTCCAAACATTTTCAATGTTCTGATTAAAAGACAAATCAAAGAATCTTAGTAAATGATTGGTTGATTATGCATTATCCAGAATAGAATTATTATTAAACTCTTTCAACAAGAAAGTTAATAAACGAAACGTAATTACATTAGATATACTGAAAAGATTAAAAAAGCTTTGATTTAACACTGTGTTTCATCAATAAAGATTTTTGTTGAGTTTTTATTGATCAAACAAAGTGTTAAATGAAAAAAATTTATTAAGTGATTTTCTATTAATTTATATATATATATATATATATATATATATATATATATATATATATATATATATATATATATATATATATATATATATATATATATATATATATATATATATATATATATATATATATATATATATATATATATATATATATATATATATATATATATATATATATATATATATATATATATATATATATATAAATTATTAAAAGAACTTGTTTGATATTCAATGTGTACTTTAATATTTCTGCTAATAAACTCTACTAATAAATGTGTAATGTTGAAATGATTTTTTGATATTTTGGCACACTTTTATCCAACTGTGCGCTAGTAGTTTCCCGAAGGTAGAAAAAATTCTATTAAGTCAAGATATATATATACATATTTTCTGCTTTTTTTATTGTCATTTAAATTTTTTATTGTCATTTATTTTTTTATTCTTATCTTGTATTCTTGTTAACTTTATTTTTATAACGACATGTTGTTTAAAATGTAATAAAGAACATTGAAAAAAAAAAAAAAAAAGATTAAAATCATGGCTTCCTCACATAAATTATATCCAATCAAAAATTAGTAAAACAATTAGTTTGATGTACCGTATTCTCCCATATGTAACATCAGAAAGTCTGAAACTAGTATATTTTGGCCTAATACATTGTTTTATTTACTATTCTAATATTACATGGGCTAGTACTCAACCAACAAAACTTAAAAAAATATTTTCTCAACAAAAAAATATAAACATGCAAAACCACTAATGAAAGACATGCAAATGATGAGTATATATATATATATATATATATATATATATATATATATATATATATATATATATATATATATATATATATATATATATATATATATATATATATATATATATATATATATATATATATATATATATATATATATATTTTTAATTTTTTTAAGTTGATTAAGGTGCCCCAAGAAGGCCTTACGGTCTTATCACAGAGCACCGCGGAATATATGAAATTAATATTTACCAACACTTAATTTTTATGTATAAATATAATAACAGCCTGATTTCAAAAACCTTTAATAATAAATTTACAAAAAATGTTAACAATAATTACTCTCTTAGAATAAACCAATGGAATACTTATAAATTGCCTAGAATTAGGAGCAAGTATTCCGAATATGGAATAGCATACCGTGGACCGAAACTATGGAACACATTTCAAAAAACCAAACATTTAAATTCGGTAAAATCATTAAACTCCTTTAAGTTTCTAATAAAAAATGAAATTTTTAAACATAAATAATTTTGCAATTTTTCTAAATAAACATCGAGTTCCATTATTCTTAGTTTGAAAAAAAAAATTGTCTTTTTTTTTTCATATTTAAAACAATATCAGTATTTTTTAAATGACTATTCTTAAATTTATATTAATACTATTTCCTTTCTTTCTTTAAATATAAATATTTATGAATTTTTTTTTTTAATCTTTTTATTATATCGGAATTGTACAATTGTATTTTTAACAATCTTATTCTATTTTAAACTTGTAAAGCCCACATAGGGGCTCTATAAAAAGATTTTTTTGTTTACGAAATTGACTTTAGTCATCCGTATCTTCTTTGAGCCCCTGCCTGTTTTTATAAATCAACTTTTTTTTGTATGTAAATGTTTCTTTGTAGTTATATTTTCTTATTATATAAACAGCAAATAAATATAACCAAAAAAAAAAAAAAAAAAGATAAAGTGGGTAAAAATAAACAAAAACTTTGTTAATAAACAGTTGTGATAAAATAAACTTTTGGCGATTAGGGGTGGAATCACTTAGAATTAGAATTAGAAAATCAATTAGAAGCGAACTTGTGGGAAGTTCGACTTAAACTTTGAAGTCTGACTTAGTCAAGTTAGACATAAAAAAAAACAACTCGAGCAAATGCGCAAACGAAACTTGAAAATTTCAAGATTGCGCTCGAGAAAGTCAAACTTGAAAAAATTTACCCTATATTGCATACTGTGTTTTTAAATTAAAAAACTGTATATCTCTCTATTGCATAGTGTAAATTAAAAACAAAAACTGTTTACTTACAATAGTAGTTTCAAAAGATGTTATTTTGTATTTTTCAAAGTGATTAGTCAGCTTTTTTACATACTTTCATGAAATGTGTCAGTGGTTTGATAGTGGTAAATGCCGAACTTGCGAATTTTATAAACTCTGTTTTAAACTTTAATTTTTAATAAAATTAGCGTGTGTAAGCTTTTCTCAGAAATACCAACTCTCACTATTTGGTATTATTACAAAATGTTATTTTGAAACATTTAGTTGAATTTTATGTTAAAATTATTTAGTTTTATGTTTGTGTTTTTAAAGCAACAATATGCATCGCAGGATTTCTTCCAAAGACTTTTATTGCTTATAATGCAGTAAGAACTTAAACATTAAGCAGAACATTAAGTACAAATTTAACAAGAGAACTTTAAATTTAGAAAATTTAGAAAAATTTAAGTAGAAATTTAATTATCTAAAACTTTTTGAAG